TCTTCTCGCTTGCTTTCTTCCCGCCGCGCCGTTTCCTTCCGCCCCCCTACCGCCCCGTTGATTGGTGCCGTATCTAGACTATTTTTGGGCCCGCTGTCTCCTCGTTTGATGGCTCGTTGTCGGCTGGCCTCCTCCTTGCCCTTGTGCCAAGAGGCCATGAACCTCTCAGCTCCCTGTAGCACCCCCGCGTGCCACGGTACCCCCCCCTCCACCTTCGCCGCCTCACTCCAGACTAACTTCGGGACTCCGAAGACGCTCGGCTTGTCGGTCGTGGAGCCGTACCTGGCTTCGAACATCTTCATGTCGTCCTTCAGGCATGTCAGCCAGTTCTGCTCCGGGTTTCCCCGGCCCGGGTCCTCCCCTCCCACCAACTCGCCGAACATCAGCCGTTTCGGAAGCCGAATATATACATAAGTAATGTGCCGGCTAAGTAAAAGACGTACGTAGCATCTTTCTCTGTGGCTGTGCTCCTTCTTTCTGCTTTGCTCCGCCGTGTGTGTGTCTCTTGAGCGTTAACTCGTGGCCAGAGGGGTATATACCAGGTAGTCGATATAGCCGTGGATGGAACACGGGTGGCCAGAGGCAGGTTGTGCGTAGGTGGGGGCACCAACTACAACCTGCCCCCCCAGGTTGTAGGGAGGTTGCAGCCCAAAGTTTGCAAGTTTTCCCCCCGCATCCTGTAGTAGCATTGGACTATTGCAGTCAACACGGCGGGCAGCAAGCCCGAAGAAACAATGCGTCCAAGGTCCGACTCGGCCTCCCAACCCCCCCCCCNTGACCAATCAGTTCTACAGAGCAAAAAAAGACGGCAAAGAAACTTTCAGAACTAAAAAAACAAACAATATGCTTCACGGAAAGTGACAAGCGACAGGGGCGCCCCAGCCAGCCCTCAGATGGCATAGGCCTTCTCGAGGCGTCAGACGAATGAATACAGTCGTGATGAAACTCTCTGCTCTCTCGGCGGCGCATTCTGTGATAAAGTCTGTGGTTCTCTCCTTTTGTGGTGCTGCAATGTAGTCGATGGCGGAGACTGGTGGAGATCGAAAGAGTCTCTCTCTCCCCGCACATTGCCCCGAGACTTGCCCACATTCTTCGTGCACTGCTATCTTGAAGGGTTGCGTAGATACCATTTGTCTCCTTTCTTGCGTGTTACCAACCGTGCCAAGCACTCCTTCTCTATCCCCGGCTGGCTGAATGCTAAGTGTTGCACGCGTGTATCGGTGTTTTCTTGTACCGACCACGTTGTTGCAGCAGGCTACAAAGTTGTGCCGCCTCTTCTCCGAATTCCTGCGGTATAGGTTTCATATCCATTCCTTCATCTATTAAGGAGAAATAAATACACGCACAGAAAGACTACCCATTCGAGATATACGCACAGTCGAACGGGATGTTGTAGAGTCTTTTCAGTAAGTGGAGGAAAACCGGCTGTGTACTGGACTTATTTCGAGTCTTTATAAGTCTATACACTGATGATTTATCAGTAATGCCAGCAGGTGCTAAGTACAATAACATCTGTATAGGTAAATCTACATTTTACAATACATCCCCTGTAGTTCTCTACNTAATAACTGCTATGGACTATTGTCTACCTATGTACATGTCGGCAGCACAGCAGTTCACCACATACATACATGTTTCTAGCGTCAAATGTTTAATCGCTGTTATTTTTATCTCTTTTATTTATCATGAGAAACGAATATACACACAAAAAAAAACCCGTTCGAGGTATAACTACACTCGAAGGGGATGTGTTGAAGTCTTTANAAGTGTCGTGTACTGCTGTAAGATGTAACCTTCACAGGGGACACGGCGCAGTGTATATTGACAGCTTGCTGGTTTTAGGAATTTAAGGAAATAATATTGATGTAATTTAAGGAAATAATATTGATGTAAAAATCATGGAAGATGGAAAGAAGGCTACAGCAGTACATCATCCTAGACCAGGATTTATTTGGTGAGAAAAATGTTGTGATATATTAAGAAAAAAAAAACTCTTTCTGCCGGGACCCGAACCGATGACATGGNTAAATTGACTCTTTTCTATGATTGAGATGGACTCGTTGTGTCATATTAAGAAAAATAAAAAAANCCTAGACCAGGATTTATTTGGTGAGAAAAATGTTGTGATATATTAAGAAAAAAAAAACTCTTTCTGCCGGGACCCGAACCGATGACATGGCCCTTAGCAGGCTGCGAGGCTACCCACTAGACCACCGGGGCGACCAGCGAAAGAGTATCCCGTTCGACCTTGAAGTATGACCAATCCACAGCATCAGCTTGATATTCAGGGTTGGGTATCGTAATACGTGTGAGAATATTGTTGTTGTTGTTGTCTTCACATTAAAAACCATCCCGGTCTCTCTATCCAGTACCTCCTTCTGTCTCAATCTNAAAAAAAATCAGAGCAGTGCGGCAAGTGTGAGAGGATTCGTAGAAGAACTGTTCCTCCNGTCGTGTCCCAAAAGTCGGAAATTGCTAAATCACTTGAATTTGTATGGATTCATTAAATTGGAGCCAGCTTCCCTGCATGACGTCAACGGCTGAACCATCCCNCGAAAGAGTATCCCGTTCGACCTTGAAGTATGACCAATCCACAGCATCAGCTTGATATTCAGGGTTGGGTATCGTAATACGTGTGAGAATATTGTTGTTGTTGTTGTCTTCACATTAAAAACCATCCCGGTCTCTNGCCATTTATTTATGTTGTTTTTTGCTGTTGAGAAGAGAGTTTTTCACCCACATGTCTAACGAAGAGACGGCTGGTCTAGGAGACAGACTCCTGCTCCTGAGCCGACCCGTCTTGAGTTCGGTTCTCACCACTATGGCGATTTTTACATGGCCGAAAAAGATCGACCAGAAGGTTGACGGCCCCCGAATTATTTAATCTTCTAACCATATATATTACGTCCCCAAAACTTTATCTTAGGCTGTTTCTTACAGAGCCGGATTCTTGACCTGAAAAACCTCAAAATCCCGATATGGCCAAAATCGGGATTCTTTTAGCGGGGTGTCTTGGCACTGTTTTTGCCCAACAACATCAATCAACCACAGAGTACAGCAATAGTGGGTTTGGAGCATGGATTGCGTACAGGTGTGTGTCTACCGCTTGGTCAGCGATATAAACCGACGAGGAAAGGGTTATCAAGGGCACTCCGGTCGTGCGTATATGCAGCAGAGAGCGTCGACTATACTGATGACTGCTGTAAGGGCGCGTGGAGGGGTGGAGGCCTGGTCGACGAAAATACAAAAGCAATAATGGATGATAACACCCACCCACACACAGCGACACCGAAAGGGTGCCGGTGGTGATTGCCTCTGTCATCCCCAACCTCCCAGAAAAGCGTCGGAAAACACGAATGCATTATACAAAAGGTGAGAAACCTTTGTGTTCGATTCGTAGTCAACTTGCACGGGCCATCAACTGCTGCTGTCGCTTATCTAAAATGGACGGAGGGCTGGCTCATCTCATCAATATTATTTACATTCTATTTTTCTCTCTGTTTGGCGAGCGACGAGGGGACACGGGGATGGTTGCGTCGTCACGTCGTCTTCCGTTTCTGTTATTTTCTGTTATGTTTTGCAGACAGACTTCGGAACCACTAGCATTTATTTGCGGCTTGATGAGTTGTGCTTGCTCGCGCAACAGCAGGTGGTGTTACAAGTAGTGCCGCCCTTGTGGCCGCCCTCTTCCTTTTTGAATCTATCAATCCAGGGAGAGCGAACGAGGCGGTCCTCTTGTTCCATCATCGGATTATTTGTTTGTTCACGTTTGGTAGCCGTACATATGAGGCACCCTCAGATTAGAGGCGACTTCACCCTCTCATGATGACGTGGTCTCGTTTCCCAGGAGCAGCAACGACAACGAGTTCGCCCTAAAACCAGCAGCAGTTCGTCGTGCAAACGTGTCCGAAAGGCGAGGCAAGAACTGCTACTATTCACAGCAGTACTGCATGTCAGCAGTTCTCGTTTTCGCTCATTTTTTGGTCCATTTCCGCCGGAATAGCCTATCGGACGATAAATAAATGACCAACAAAGTGCCAAAGACTTTCAACACGCCCTCTTCGACCGTGGTGATATCTCGAACGGGTGCATAGTCTGTTATGTGCTTAAAAAATGAAGTGACGTTTTCCGGTATGTATGCCGACTGCACCACAACAAAGCGGCACGGCACGGCACCAACAACGCTCAATGACAACACCTCAAACTTCACAAGAAAAAAAAAAAACACCAACACACAAAAGAACGCCGCCAAATCTTCAGAGCGTGATAACCACACAGACAGACGCTCGCTCCTTTACTGGATCCATTCGCGTTTCAAAATTGGCACGCAAAGAAGTTCCAACCAATAAAAGAAAACTCTCACGCCCGGGCCGATTCCCCAACACCAACCGAGGAAACACCTCCGTCACACACGAACGAACATACACGAAAGCGTTTTGCGTACGACTCGCTGCACTCATATGCGTAACAACCCTGCTCGCGTTCGGGGGTACGCCGCGTTCCATTTTTCCCTACACCTCCTCCTCGTCACTACATGAAGAGCCCCAGCACTATTAGCGTCGACGGCACAGCCTTGCGCCGAGAACCTCCGTCGGTAGACGTGGCTGCATCTCCGTTACATAGTCGTCGACATCCCGCCACCATTGTACATTGAGTTCGTCAAGATACGAGGACGCGTGTCTGCTGCGCAACAAGACACACTCATCACACCCCAAGTTTACGTGCGGGACATTATTATTTTTCCTCCCAGCTTGCCCCCCCACCCTGACATAACCAGCTCCATCGCGCCTAGGACTTGATCGCAGACCACGCCTTGAAGCTCGCCCTCTTGTGTACAGAAAAAAAAGGGATGGAGCAGCACCCATGCTAGCCCCCTACAACGACGGCGCTCCTGCCCTAGTCATGTGGAAAGCCCCTACAACAGTAGTGCATTCTAGTGAACTCCAATTGAACCGAACCGGGTGCAGTGCAACTTCCTGTTTTGTTACGTGGCACGCAGGCGTACCTTGCAAACGGTGCTTACCCACATGCCAACCCTATTCCGTGCGAGCTTACCTCGGCATTCCATGCACGCATTCCTTACAAATCGGACGCCGGGTGGCCTTAAGTCCCGGCCCCACAATACAACGTGTGCCTCAACGTCCCGTCTCACCAAAACAAACATTCTCCCCCTTTGATCAATCAACTGCGCCCCTCAATTTTTTTACGACACGTTGACCATCCGAATTCCTCTCTGCACCTCCCTTCCACATCTCGTCTTTTGAGCACGCCGAAAAAACCGCATGGCTGCCGTCCATGCGGACTGTCCACCCCCGTTTCGCAAACCCCTCCTTCTAACAACACCACTATGATATGTTCGTTCCGCCTAAAAACGGATGTAACTCTGAACAACGAAGAGCAGAGAGACTCACGGCTTCTCACGGCTTTTGCGGGGTGCGCTCAGCACGTGGTCTGCCAACATCTGCTCACCGGAAATTTCCAAACACACCGTGCGTATCGATCGCCCGGCAATGCTGCCCGGAGTTCCGAAGGTCGTTTATTTTTTGTAACAGCCCCCTGTATCTTCAAAGCTTTGAGCCCACCCGAGAGTTACCATCACTCCCCCGAACTCAGAGCCCGCCCAAATTCACCGAAACACGTCCCGTTGTTGAATGAAGATTGCATTCACAGCCGCCGATCCCTCTGAAATTCCACGGCACGTAGGGGTTGGATAAGCGCCAAGAACCCAGCTCCAGCTCCGCACTGATCGATGCTGGCAGATCTGCCATCCAAGCATTGGCTTTCCATTGGTCCCTCCGGGGGTGGCTTCGAGAAACTGGTGACGCAACGCCTCCTTATGTATTCAGACAGCTCATCCCGGCCTCCCTGGGCACGCGCTGCCGTTGCCGGCCCACAGTTGATCAACCCTACGCGTCAGTACCCCCCTCCCCAATAGCGACACCTTTAGGCCCCAAGCTCGTTTGACCGGGCACCAAAATCGCACCAGCAGGAGAGGAAAGGGAGCCAGCTCGTTTGTACACGTGGAATTTCCAAAATTGTTCCATCATTCGCTGCCACGCTAGGCCAGGCCTTCTCGACTACCAGCGACACAACTCCGTGGTGGCAAGGAGTGGACACCATGCTATGGACGAACACCGCGCAAGGCGCGCGTCGCCGCTCGTTCTCAAAGAGAAGCTCCTGCCGCGACCGGAGCAGACGTCGGGTGCGCCATCGACGCCGCCGCTGCTGCTGCTCCGGCCGCGGTCGGCACCACGCCGCCGCTCGACAACCTCGCCATGAAAGTTCCCTCGCCAAGCCTCCGCATGCCGGACATCAGACCCAGCGCCGACGGCGGCGGCAACAATCGTCTCCCTAGCCTGTGCGACCCCACCCTCATGTCTGCGTCGCCAACAGAAGGTAACGCCGCAGCCGTCGCCGCGTGGTGCAAGTAGCCAGTAGCAGCAGCCCCGCCGCCGCCGCCGCCGCCGCCGCCGCCACCCCCATTCCTGGAGGAACCCGAGTGCTGGAGGTAGTAGGACGACGCGTTACCGTTACCGTTACCGTTACCGTTACCGTTACCATTGCCGCCGCCGCCGCCGCCGCGACCAACGCACCTGCTCGAGCGGGAGCTCACGCCGTAGCCCCCGCCCGTCGTGTAGTCGGCGCCGGGCACGGCGACGGCGGCAGCGTTGCGGTAGGCGCTGCTGCGAGGGTCGGGCAGCTCCATCTCTCCGAAGATCCTTGAGACGGGACGAGAAGAAAAAGGGCGAAAAAAATACAAAAAAACAGGACACGGCGGGCGGGGGGGGGGGGGGGGGAGGGGGGGGGAAAGTAAGGCCAACTGGTGTTAGACACGGAGAGAGGCGTGCGGGCGTGGTGACGCACCAGCAGGCGGTACTTTGTGCCGTCGTGATTGTGGAAGAAAAACAAGGTTGGGGTATCTACATGATAGGGGTTTTACTTGGTGCGGTCCCGACATGTGCCGTGGTTGGGTTTCCGTTCAAGCTATCTGCCTTGCAGTCGTGCAAGTGCTGCCCATGGGCTATACAATTAGACGCAAGCAGGGAGGGGTGTGTGGGGCGGTCTGACGATCGATCGTACCCCCAACAGCGGCCTCCCCGCCACTCTCCGTCTAGCCTGAAGAACGCACGCAGTATGCATACAAATGTTTTCCGTGTTTTGCTGGCGAGGGCTACTCCCGGCTCACCACTTGTGGTGCGAGAGGGTTGGGGGGTGAGTGGGGGGGTTCAGTTGAATTACAGCAGATGTCAACGGGAACAATTCAGGAGCTGCGTGTGGATTTACACACTTTCTCCGACTTCGTCAGAAAAAGGTACCACGTCCTACCGGGGGTGGAGGCATCCACGTGGAACTGCGGCGATGGCGGCCACTCACTCGACAAAGCCCTGTTGGATATCTTCCCTGTCGTAGAGGCAGCTGTCCGTTCGCTCCGTGAGCTGAAGAACACAGTGGAGTCCCGTTCCATTCCGTTCCGTTCCGTTCCGTTCGGGACCCGACCCGGTCAAGTTTCCAACCAACGATCCACACCAGTCCCACGGGGCAAAAGTCGGGGTAGAGTTAGCAAGCGTAGCGATCAGCCAGGGAACAGTTACGGGGACGGAGAGGTGAAGCATACGTATCGAGGAGTCCGAACGACCCTTTGGTAATGCAACATCAGGTGGTGGGCTGTTGCCCGTCAACAAAATCAAGCACTGCTTTGGATGGTTGCGTCTGATACAATATTTCTCTATCTCCTTAACTGTCTAACTCCTCCCCGCCCATCTCTCTCCCCCTATCTGCGCGTGATCGGTCTATCGTGACGTACGTACCATCCTAAAGGTCATGCTCTTCTTCTCGTGGGTCCTCAACAGGCCCTTCAGATACTCCACTCGGTCCTGGCCAAATCACATCACGCAACAGCAAAATCAGCTTCGGCAGAGGACACAAGGGTGTGCGGGTAGCATGCCAAGAGCGACGCGCTCCGTTGCTCGTGAGTTTGTCGAGGGCTCCGACACAAAGAATATCGAAGACCAGGTATCCTGTGTAGTGGGGAGCTACAGAAGAAACGAGGTTTGTAATGGGGTGAATTACCAGCGAGAAAGGCGCCAGGCGTACCCTCCCCAAATGACTTCACCAAATCATTAAGCAAAACGCAGGAACCACCATCGTATAGTACGCATGAAAACAGATCTGGGCTCTGCGTACCACGGATGGGCTCGAACAACGAGTTACTGTAGGGAGCGCATCAATCCCCTGTATCGCAGCGAGAGCACACTGAATTTATTGCCTCGGCAGGGCCGCGGACACAAGCACCCACGCCACGCTTTCCCATCAGCGTGCTCAAGAGGCTGGACATATACAGACAACAACAAGCCCACGCGGAAGCGTGGTTTGTTGCTGGGCACCAACAACAGGCACGGCATCCCGGCGATGAGTTTCACGCGAGAAGCACGAGCGCTTGAAAGAGCAGACGCCAGTTCAACAACAACAACAACAACAACAACAACATAAGCGATGACGACAACAAAGCACCATCAAATCAACAACGCCGCAAGGTGCACGCACCGTCGGCAAGCCATCCCTCCGCGCGAAGTCCACGAGCATCCAGCATTTCTCCATCGGCGTTAACTCGTCTGTGCGTCGCCGGAACGCGGGGGTCGAGCCTCCTGACCTCCCCCCCAAGCCTGCCCCACTCACAAGCCCCCTATCCCCCCCGCCGCCGCTTCTCCAACTTCCGTCCAAGACTGGTCCCGGCTGCTGTGGTGGACCCCGCATCGACGTGCTAACGTTTCTCCCAAGGGCAGTGGGAGCACCCATCTCCAAAGCCCTCACGCCCGAAGAAGCTGCGGCCAAGTGCCGAGAGTATCGGTCTGCTGGTTGAAAGCGGGGCTCCCTCCCACCGAGGTTGTTGCTGCTGTTACTGCTGCTGCTGCTGCTGCTGTAACCGTACCCCAAGCCGTTCCCGCTGTTGCGTTGGTGGTGCTGGTTGCCTTCGAAACCGCTGTTGTTATTGGTGGCGTGGTGGTAATAGCGGCGATGGTGGAGGTTGCTGGTGTTGTTGTTGTTGCTGGCGGTGGTGCTGGTCGTGGCGGTGTAGCCGTCATAAGGGTAGTCGCTGTAGCGGCGGCCGTGGTGGTGCTGTCGCTGGTCGGCCACGACACGGCTGTCCTTGCGGCGCTCGTCTACACGTCTGGCGAAGGCAGGAGCACCACCTTCTGTTTTCGCGTCGGATTGCGTTTGCACCAACCCACGCGCCGTGCGTTGAAGAGCGCATCACCGTGAACAACGCAAACATCAGAGGCGACGGTGAGAAAGTGGCACCAGTAAATGCACAACCAGTCCTTACGGGGGTTGGGCCAAAGCGGCGTCAGCAAATGAGCCGAACCAATCGGAAACGAACATCAGTACTGCTGTTGTGCACCACTGGACAGGGGGGGCTCGCCCGCGAGTGGGACGCACAAACCTTGAGAAAAAACAATTTTACATTCTCATGTAGTGTATTCACAATAGTTCCTTGGTCGGCTGCGAATAATAGAAAACACCCACATACACACCTGGGGAGGGGGGGGGGGGGTACTCGTAGTCGTGCATGCCGTAGTCGTTAGACTATTGACCTCGCATCCCTACAAAGC